TAGGTTGTATTTCTTCCATTTTCTTTGGTAAATCTACAGCTGCTGACTATTTTTCATTTCTGAAGGTTTGATCTGTCAGCCGCAGGAAGACAGAAGAGCTTCCCTGAAATCAACCCCAGATATAATATTTTATTCTGTCCGAGCCAGCATTTACCTATGTTAAATAGCAAGAGAGTATGTGCCAGTTTAAAAGATTGAGGAGGGAATCCTGCTACAATTCCCAGTCACATCAGTGAAGTTTGCAATCCTTCAAGGACTACAAAGTTGGATTTGGAGAATGGAAAGATTGTTATTGAATCTTTCCATTCTCCCAATGCAACATTCTAGTTCTCCCTTACGAAAGGCAGTGAAGATAAGAGGCACTCCAAAATGTTAAGTATGAGCAAAACAGCCACCATTGTTATGACTGGCGTTTGAGCGGAAAGAAGGCTTGTGCCTTGCAAAGGGATTCCTGTCAGTGTGGGCTGAGTCACCCACTGTCAGGGTAGGTGACTGCCTTCCTTGCAGTAGTATTTCCAAAAAGATCTCTATCTTTACTTTTCTCCACAGGCCTGAATAACAGCCATACTCTCAGAGACACTACTTCATGCAGTGCCTAGTTGAACTATGGTGCTTGTTCCCACAGGAGGCAGTGATCACCACCAACTTGGATGTCTTTAAAAGAGGATCCTATAAATTCATGGAGGATAAGGCTCCTAGTGATGATGGATATGTTCTGCCTCCAGTGAGAGGCAGTAATGGTTCTGAATCCCAGTTGCTGGAAATCACAGAAGAGGAGAGTGCTCTTCTGCTTGGGTCCTGCTTAAGGCATCTGGGTGGCCACTGTGAGAACAGGATAGATCACTGGTCTGATCCAGAAGGTTCTTGTGTTCTGATGTCCCTAGGTTTTAACTATGGGTGAAAGATAAGCCTCTCCCTACTCTTGTTCTTTCCAACCACTGAGAATCCAGTGGTGTAGTGGTTAAGAGCAGTGGACTCGTAATCTGGTGAACCGGGTTCGATTCCCCACTCCTCCACATGCAGCTGCTGGGTGACCTTGGGCTAGTCACACTTCTCTGAAATCTCTCAGCCTCACTCACCTCACAGAGTGTTTGTTGTGGGGGAGGAAGGGAAAGGAGACTGTTAGCCGCTTTGAGACTCCTTAGGGTAGTGATAAAGCGGGATATCAAATCCAAACTCTTCCTCTTCTTCTTCTTCATCTGTCTACATCCTAGTTACTGTTTTTGGTGCTGCTAAAATGGGACAGAATACCCTCCCTCCCCCTAAAAAAAGAAGACGACTCTTTGCAATAAGGAAAGTGATGACAAAATGTACTGGAAAATGTGAGATAACATTTCCTCAATGCAATGCCATCTAACTTCCCTGCAAGCAAATCAGGATTAATGTTAGATAAATAGCTGGTGTTGTCTAATCTCCCTGCAAACAGGATGAATGCTCAATAAACAGGTCATCTGGAAGTGATCAACGTCTCTGAGCATGTCAACAGGGGGTTGCGACTGTCCATATCCCCCTTTCAGAATGGAATCTTTATCCTCAGAGCACCATCTTTTATACCACATAGCCATATGACTCTAAGATACTTCAATTCTTTTTGCACTGAAGGAACACAAGGGCAAGGCATGTTTCCAATCTTTGCACCAGAAGGACACCAACAAAATCCAGGTTTCACTTCCAGTAACTACTGGCTTCTGCACACCAAACAAGAAAGCAGAAGACATTTCACACCTCTTCTGGTCAGTTAAAGGAACCCAGTGAGATGCTTGGCCTGCGCTTAGTCTAAGACGTCCCATATCAACTGTTCATTCCACCACCTGTTATTCAGCCTTCTCTGGTGCACTCAGTTCTTTCACTGCATTTGGTCAGAATGCTTGCAGTGCCCCATAATCTTTATAGGAAGGAATGTGCACTTTTTGTTTTGTTTTGACATAGTTTGTCAAAGGCTCTGAAAAGGGCGTGAGCAGAGAAATGTCAAAAAGTGCTGGTGAAACGAAATGCTAAGACACCAAATAAAAGTTCCAGAACAATACGGTATCTCTGGGAAAGTAGAAAGTGGCAGGTGACATTAAATATCCATATTTCAGAAAGATTTTTTTCCGGTCAGCAATCACACTAATGGCACAATTCTGTACATGTCTAATTAAAAGAAAGTCCCAGTGAGTTCAGTGGGGTTCACTCATTTTCTGGACTGGATAGATCTTTGGTCTGTTCCAGCAGAACTCTTCTTATGTTCTTAAGACAGGATCCTTTTCAATGTCATAGAAGATGCAACTGGACTTTGACCAGACAACCCTACAAATAGAGGACTGTCCTCTGTAAAGTAGGAGACACAGCCACCCTATCTACTCGTGAGCTCCCCACCCGCTTGCCATGTCCCCACTGAATAGTGTGTATTCCCAACTCCTGTTCAGTTAGTGCAACTTCAGTTATGCTTTATAGAAGAGCCTCCTGCATTTACACTGGAGTTGCGTGTGCTCCAGTTTCTGCAATTTCATTTTTCCCAGTCTATCTGCTGCCGCATGCAGTCTGGTGGCACCCTTAATACCCATACGCCTAGCCATGCTCTCAGGAAGGGACAAAGATAAGGAAAGATACTCTGAGCAACCTGGACCTTCTGCTGCCATCACAACCCACTTCCTGCTTCTTATTGTGCAAGGTGCATATCCTGCGGCTCTTCCTCGCAGTCTCTTTGTGAGCAGGAAGAGCCTAGTGATAAGAGCTATTTTTAAATCCTTGTAGCTTCGAGCCACAGAAAGCTCATTTCCAAAAAAACAAAAAACAAAAAACCAACCAACTCACACGCAATACTAGAAGTCTGTGTCTGGAATTACGAACACAGGAAATTAAACACAAAACTAGGTTACAATAGCAAGAAAAGAATCAGACTCAAACTGACCCAAACAATGGCAAACACAAGTTCTGCAAACCGCATCCCACCCCCCACCCCATGACAATTTGTTTACATGAATAATGTAAGTCAATTAAGGGTGAATTTATTTATTATTATTATTTTAAAAGTCTGCTTAAATTACCAGAACACTTGAATGCACTTTGTTGAACAGGTGTGGCATCTGAAGTTGTTAGAGTAAGTGCCACACTTGTCACATTGGGTTGGGGGGAGTGTCAGTACTGTACTGTGTACCCTTGGGTACCCCCAGAAAAAAGCATTGAGTACAGTGTGGAGCATTGGGGGGCGGGGGGCGCTGTGGGTAAAACCTCAGCACCTAGGACTTGCCGATCGTCAGGTCGGCGGTTCGAATCCCCACGGCGGGGTGCACTCCTGTTGCTCGGTCCCAGCGCCTGCCAACCTAGCAGTTCAAAAGCACCCCCGGGTGCAAGTAGATAAATAGGGACCGCTTACTAGCGGGAAGGTAAACGGCGTTTCCGTGTGCTGCGCTGGCTCGCCAGATGCAGCTTGTCACACTGGCCACATGACCCAGAAGTGTCTTCGGACAGCGCTGGCCCCCGGCCTCTTAAGCGAGATGGGCGCGCAACCCCAGAGTTGGACACGACTGGCCCGTACGGGCAGGGGTACCTTTACCTTACAGTGTGGAGCTACAGTTTTCAGAGTGCTTTAACAATTAATCCCTCTTCATAGGCAACACTGGAATTTGTAGCTTTAAGAGAGGAATAGGGGTATCTTAACAACTCCCAGAACCCTTAACAAACTACAGGTCCCAGAATTCTTTGGGGAAAGCCATGCCTGTTTAAAGTGGTATCATGGCGCTTGATGTTAATGTGACCTGATATTTCTGGAGCCAGTTAAAGATTTCCCAAACAACCCTGGTCTTCAGCTTTTCTTTCTTTTATTCTCAAACCGACACTCTAGCATCTCTGCTTTCTACTGGTGCTGATCAGTATTATTTAGAGAGAGAGAGAGAGAGAGAGAGAGAGAGAGAGAGAGTGTGTGTGTGTGTGTGTGTGTGTGTGTGTGTGTTGCTCTTGAAAGAAAACAAAGGCACTTTGGGATGAGGATATGATGGGAGATTATTACTCTTTCCCCCTATGGCTCACTAAAAACAGGCTCTTGCGAAGCGGACCTCTTTTCTGAATGTTTTCTATAGCTCTGCAGAAGGTCCCACGTCTCTTCCAGAAAAAGGGTCCACCGTCTTCAACAGAGTGTCCCCTCGCTTGCTGTTTCTGCATAAATGCGGCCCATATTGGAGTAAATAAACAGCCAGGCAGTGTCCCAGACAATGGGCCTTGGCGATGAATTAATAAACTCTGCCTCTTGCATTAGCAGAGTGTGACTGGAACTGGCAGGAGTCCCTGGCCGGACTCCAGAAACTATTATTACTAGACAGAGCCAAAGGAGACTTGGCACGAAACAGGGCCCACAGCTGGAGATTAGGTAACAGAGTCGGAGCGCTCAGTGAGCTGCCAGGGTGTTGGCCATTGTGCCTGAAGAGAGGGTCAAAATTCTGTTTCTGAAGCTCACAGCCGCACGCACACATTACCTTCGTAACGTGCAACAGTACAGCCTGTAACAAGCAGTGATTTTCTTTTTTCAAAAGGAAAGGGATCTGTTCTTCCAAACACCACAGGGTGCTTACACCAGCAATTTATCTTTGGTTTACTAAGTAACCTTGGAAAGGCTTGCCAAGGTACGCTTTGCAGTTCTCAGGTGATGCAGTTTGGTTTCAAGTGCAGGTATGTTAACTCTGGCACTCCCGAGTTTCCCAGGGAGAATCGATATTAAATGAACAATGTGGACATTACCTTTATTTTTATTTTTTAAGTGTAATTTTCAGTGTCCCCTCCAGGGCTGGCCAAGGACAAAACAGCATTCCCGATTTCATGTACAGACGCTGGCTGGGAAGGCGGTTGAAACTCACTTCAGCGCTGGCAATCTTTCCATGCACCTGAGGACAGTGGGATAGTTTAGGTAGGGTTGCCGTACATCCAGATTTTCCCATTTGTTTTCCCCAAAATAAGCTCAACAACCCTAGCTGAGGGGGTGCATGGCACACACACGCAGGGTGTGGAATTTAGTGTAGCACTAAGTGGGGTGTGCAGGAAGGAAACAAGGTCCACTTGTGCAACAGACTTTGCCTTCCCCACTGCTCCCACAAACTTGTTCTGGGTTCCCCAGCAAAAACACACACACCAAAAACACCCTCTCTGGCAGAGGGCAGGGGAGTCTTGTTGCACAAGCAACAAGTTAGCTGAATCTTGCCCTCCCTGGGAAAGGGTTAAGTATACAACTTGCCATTTCTCCATGGCAAAAAGCCTTCTTTCAAGGATGATTTGCAGCAGACAAGCAGCCCTCGGGACATGCAACTGCCTATGTGAGGGAGTTCGAGCAGCAGCTTTCCAAACCTACACTGAAGATTGTGGTTTAACCAATGGCCCATCCAGTCCACCTCCACAATGTCTAACCAGATGCCTATGTTATATTCAATACAGAACAACAGTCTCCCTGTAATGAGCGCCACCTGGGAATGGTTACTTATGCTTCAGGTTTCATGCAACTGGTAGCAGTGGTTACATATCCTCATGATCACTGCTCCTTGTGCATTTTTCTAATCTATGGGGTATGTACCTTTGTCCTTCTTGTAGTTGTAGCATATGGGTTGTAATGTGTGAAGTTTATATAGCTTTCATGTATACAGGTCATTGTTTCATATTTGAATTCTTTTGTAGTTGTGCTGAAGAAGATTCCAGCGAAACAGTCAGATTATCCAGATCACTGTCCTACGTTGTTATCCACTTACTACTTCGGCACCATGAACGCCTAAAAAGTTTTACCACTTAGCCCACAGGATAGCATCTATCACTTTGTTTCAACCATAGACTTATTATACTTCTACGGACTTTCAAAGATTGACAGAGGTGTGTTCATTTGTTTTCAAATATATTAGAGAATTTACCAGGGTACACATTTTGTTTTGTTGTACTAGATCACGTTTATTATGCAATGATAATTACAGTGCTATCTAGTATACTGGTCTTCGTGTTGCTTGTGTTGTTTGTTATGTTATAGTCAACGGCAGGACCAGAGCGCAAGAGCACTCTCCTCTCTTGTGTGCTTCCCAGCGACTGGCATTCGGAGGCATGCTGCTTGTCTGACCCTGGACGTAGTCCTTCTTCCTTATGGTGGGAATGAGAATCTTGCATGAGAAAGTTTAAACTACTTACACCAAGATAAGGCACAATAATAACAAAGCAGTTAATAAAACAGATCTTGAAGGAATTCAAGCAAAATAGAGCAGGCCAGCCGTCCGAACCCTGGCCTCCTTTGTCTCTTGCCATGCTAAGCCCTGCACTTCTTTAAACTCTGGAGGGAGCAGCATGCAAAGAAGGAATTTGGGAACATTGCTGGAGATACTTGTCACTTGGAGAAAGGGAAATCAGGTGTGCAGGGCCCTCTAGGCTGCAAAAGTGCAACACAGCTTTTGCCAACCCGACCAAATTTCATAGAATCATAGAGTCGGAAGAGACCACAAGGGCCATCGAGTCCAACCCCCTGCCAAGCAGGAAACACCATCAGAGCACTCCTGACATATGGTTGTCAAGCCTCTGCTTAAAGACCTCCAAAGAAGGAGACTCCACCACACTCCTAGGCAGCAAATTCCACTGTCGAACAGCTCTTACTGTCAGGAAGTTCTTCCTAATGTTTAGGTGGAATCTTCTTTCTTGTAGTTTGGATCCATTACTCCGTGTCCGCTTCTCTGGAGCAGCAGAAAACAACCTTTCTCCCTCCTCTATGTGACATCCTTTTATATATTTGAACATGGCTATCATATCACCCCTTAACCTCCTCTTCTCCAGGCTAAACATGCCCAGCTCCCTTAGCCGTTCCTCATAAGGCATCGTTTCCAGGCCTTTGACCATTTTGGTTGCCCTCCTCTGGACACGTTGTAGTTCAAAACATCTGGAGGACACCAGGTTGGCAAGGCAATGGAAATGAACAGATCCACTATATTTAGAGGAGGAAGCAGTGGCAGAACACCATGGAGAAACTCATCCGTTCTGTTACCTTTGCTACGATATATGCCAACTCATCAAAAGTATATAAAAGCAGGGGCTTATGTTTCTTCCATTTCAAAACTTCCAGTGCGCTGCCCTCTGCACTACTGCCCCTAGCATAATGGTTATGGCCCTTAAGAGCTTAATATAAATAGAGCCAGTGTGGTATAATGGTTGGAGTATTGAACTAGGGCCTTTGGTGACCAAGTTTCAAATCCCTATCGAGCCATGAAGCTCACCAGGAGACCTTGGGGCAGCCACCATCCTTAAGTCTCATAATCTACCTAGCAGGGCTGTCGTGAGGGGAAAGAGAGCCATGAATGCTGCACTGAACCCCTTGGAGGATAAATAAGTGTAGAAGTAAAAATAAACAGTCCATCCTCCTATTCCCTAACACTGCCCACCATTTTTTCAGCCTCAGCAGCATAGCCACCACATGTAAGGAAACACTGTGGTATTCTGTACATGTTATTTAGTTTGCACATTCATATTTGCTGTTTCGTGAGCCGATTTTCCTTGAAAAGCGGGATAAAAAATATTAAATAAATGAAAATAAATGTGCTGTTTAAAAACAAGAGCGGTTAGAGAGCTGGAAAGGCCTCCTAGCAAAAAGACAGGTGGTGAGTCTAGAAGATTAAAATACAAAGTGTGAGGATAAAGATATTGTCATAAAAATTGATAGTCTTCTAGCCCAAGTGGGAAAGTTGGCAGGTGTGAGGCCATCATCTGCATCTAATTGAGATCCATGGCAAAAGATCCGTTGGTTTTCATGGCTGTGGATTGTATTCCATGAGCTTGTAAAATATTCTATTTTTATCTGTTGAATATTGGGAGAGAAAGAATCTATAACCCCTCAGCTGTGCTGGAGGAACATTAGATTCTAATTTTTTTTGCGGTGAAACAAAAGTGATGAAGTTCCGTATTTATAATGAAAGGTTACATGGGGAACAGCCTTTCCCTCTGTTGGGCCCTGGCTGGGACATGAATTGTTGGAATCTCGGCACCTGGCCTAAACTCTTGGGAAAGGAAAGATACTCTGTTGATTTGCAGTGGTCCACTGACTCCTTAAAAAGGAGCACTTCCTGCCTGCCACCGCTGAAAAATGATCACCAGAAGGCATGGCCCTTTCAAAGAGGAGTCGTAAATATGGAGAAAGTGAGGCTAGATTAGGAGCCGTAACAGAACACATGCATAGCACACAGAGAGAGAAGAGAAAGAAAACTGGCACACGTATTTGAAAATGCAACTGAATTTAGGAACCTGTTTGTGGCCAAATTATTTCCCCAGTATATTCCCCATAAAATGCCGGTATCAGTACAAAATAGATGCTTGTTTCTAAATAAAACTGCATGAAAAATCAATACCCAAAGGAAGTAGAAGTACCTTCTTCTGAGTGAATTCAACATAAAAACACGAGAAGAGCCTTCTGGATCAGACCACTGGTCCATCTAGGCGAGCAATCTGTTCCCACAGTGGCCAATCAGATGCCTGTGGGCAGAGGCATACATAGGGTCCCTTGCTCCTTTGGCAAGGAGTTGTATCTGTGCACACGCAGCCCACTTTACCGCAATAGCCGCATTAGAAATTACTACATTTTACGTGAGGGAAAGGTGAGGAGGAAGGGCAAAAAGATTCACACACCCTTGTGCCACAGCGCAAGGAGGACAGGAAGCTCCTCCCGTGTTTGATCTTGCTGTGACAGCAGAGGCATGGCACCACACACATAAACATCATAGTGTCATACCTCGGGTTGCGAACGCTGCAGGTTCCGAGTTTTTGGGTTATGGGCACGCCGAACCCGGAAGTACCGGAATGGGTTACTTCCGGGTTTCGGTGCTTGCACATGCGCAGAAGCGCTAAATCGCTCTTTGCGCATGAGCAGAAGCGCCGAATCGCATCATGCACGTGCGCAGATGCGGCACTGTGGGCTGCGAAAGCTGCGGGTTGCGAACATGCCTCCTGCACAGATCACATTCGCAACCCGAGGTTCCACTGTACACTCCTGAGTCTGATAGGTGATTTTTGCGCTATCCCTAGCAGCGGCCTAGGTCATTGGCGGAGGAAGAGGAGTGCGGGGGGAGCACACCGCCCCTGGCAGCGCAATCCCAGTGGGGTGCCATCGCGGCTGCCCCTCTGCCCGCACTGGGTGCCACACCCCGCAGGTGGCGTGCCACGCCCCCAGGACGCGCACCAACCCTGCCCCCACCTGCTCTCTGCCCCCCAGTGCCGGAGCATGAAGCTCCGCCACTGCTCTAGGTAGGCTTCTGCCTGTGGAAAGCCTGAAAGCTGAGCATAAGCGTAACAGCACTCTGCCTACCTGCAATTCTAAGAAGTCTCTCTGAACTCTTGTTTTTTTTAAAGTATGCATAGGCCCAAATTAGTAGCATGATAAAGAGATAAGCCATACATTACCTGAGCAAGACAGACACTGTTGCCCTGCGGCTCTTTTCCACGTCCTTCCAGCTGTATCTTTAATCATGAAGTCATTTGTATTGCATTTGTCTTTGTTACAGTTGTATCTCCTGCCTTTCCACCAAAAATGTCTAGCACCTAACTAGAGTAAAATCCACAACCGAAGACAACATTACACATTCAGCTACATGACAATGGCTGCTATCCTATACACACATAACCAATGAATAAGACCTGTTGAGCTCAGTGAAACTTCCTTCTAAGCATAGATGCATAAAGGTAAAGGGACCCCTGACCATTAGTCCAGTCGTGACCGACTCTGGGGTTGCGGCGCTCATCTCGCTTTATTGGCCGAGGGAGCCGGCACACAGCTTCCGGGTCATGTAGCCAGCATGACTAAGCCGCTTCTGGCGAACCAGAGCAGCACACAGAAACTCCGTTTACCTTCCCGCTGGAGCGGTACCTATTTATCTACTTGCACTTTGACGTGCTTTTGAACTGCTAGGTTGGCAGGAGCAGGGACCGAGCAACGGGAGCTCACCCCGTCACGGTGATTTGAACCGCCAACCTTCTGATCGGCAAGCCCACAGTGCCACCTGCACCCCGCATAGATGCATAGGGATGTGCTAATCCTAAACATTTTTTTGTGGTTATGTTTTTGTACCCTTTAATAGCAATATCAATATTATCAGTTCTGGTCAAACAATCAACATAAGGTTTGCATGATAAGTTCTACTCAGAGCAGAACCACTGAAAGTCATGAATCTCAGTTAGTCATGTTCATTCATTTCAAGGAGCCTACTCTGAGTATGACTATGAACCCTCCAGATGTTGCTGGGCACAGTTCCCATCATTGCTGACCACTGGCCGTGCTGGCTGGAGGAAGTTGTAGTATCATAATATATGGAGGACCGCAGCCCAAGTCTTATATGTTGTCTGTAACACCCAATATATTATTTGTCCAAAGTAGATATTTTAAAAGGAGAAACAGGTTATTTTCCAGCTTTGGTTCTACTATCAGATCAGTGAAGGGAAATATCATAAACCCCTCTGATTTCATGAGATTTCACCACTTCCAAGATATTCGTGGCATTGGACCAATCCTTAAATGCAGGACATCTGTGAACCCAAACAGCAACCATTTCTGAATCTAGCCATCATTTGCTCAGCTTTTCTCTAATTAAACAATCCACACTCCTCATCGGTTTCCCATTTCCTACCCCCAGACTGTTACTTTTATTTTCCCCCACTTTAACCCTCCTCGTGATTTCCCTTAATCTTCTCTCTTTTCTTCTCCTCCATCAACCTTTCCTGTCATATCTCCTCCATCAACCTTTCCTGAAGATCTCCACAGGGTTCTCTCTCCTGCATAGTGTGTGGTGCAATATGGCCTTGCTACACCAGCAGATAGCTTGATGGCATGAAGGTGCTTACCTGACCTCCCAGCAGGTG